CAAATCTAAGTATTTTTTTTAATAAATAAAATACCTAAAATATTAATCCATAAAAATTTTATATTAAAATCATCATCTTTAAATAATCCATGAGTACACATAAGTTTATGATGAATAGAATATTTTAAATTACTTTTGAAAAATGTACACCTGAGATACCATTGATATGCCAGAAATTAAAGATGATAAAAAAATATTTTCTTTGTCAGAAGTTACTAACAGCATTCAGCAAACATTGGCAAAAAGATATACGCAATTATATTGGATAAAGGCTGAAATGAATAAGCTCCATTTACATGAGCATTCAGGACATTGCTATCCAGAATTATTAGAGAAAAAAGATGGACAAATCATTGCAAAAATAAATGGTATTGTATGGCAACAGGATTATATCCGTATTAACCGCAACTTTGAAAACCTCACCAAGGAATCATTAAAAGACAAAATTGGCATTAAAATATTACTACTTGCCAAAATTGATTTTAATCCCATACATGGCTTATCTTTAACAATAAAAGATATAGACCCACAATATACCTTAGGTGATTTAGCCATAGAAAAAGAAAACACCATTAAACAACTGATAAAAGAAAATTTATTCACAAAAAATCAATCGCTTCCATTCCCTTTATTGCCAAAATGTTTAGCAATTATTTCAGTGGAAACAAGTAATGGATATGCAGATTTTTTAAAAGTTATAGAAACTAATAAATGGCAATATAAATTTTCTCATTATTTTATTTCCCGCTATTTTACAGGGGCATAATGCTATTAAAAGTATTATTAATCAGCTAAAAAAAATTGAAAAAAATAAAATCCCATTTTGATGCTGTTGCAATTATTAGAGGTGGTGGTGGTGATATTGGGCTATCATGCTATAATGATTATGAATTAGCAAAAGCAGTTGCCAATTTTCCTTTGCCTATTATAACAGGTATTGGACATGCCACCAATAAGACCATTGTAGAAATGATATCACATACCCATAACATTACACCAACACAATTAGCAGAGTTTCTCATACAACAATTTCATAATTTTTATAATCATCTCTTATCAATATCAAAAAAGTATTTTTAACACAGCAAAAAATATCCTCCTTAACAATAATACATTACTTGACAATAGTGTAGAACATTTAACTAAGCATACTTTTCTTCTTTCCACCCTCAAAAAGCAAGCACAAGAACTTGTGTTCATTGAAAGAACTATTAAAAATTTAAGCCCAGAAAAATGTTTAAAAAACGTGGATATTCTATAACTTTTTTTAATGGCAAACCCCTTATAGATATAAACCATGTGAAGACAAATGATATCATAGAAACTACTATTGCCAATGGGAAGATTATCAGTACAATAAAAAATTAAACATCCTTATTTGTATGAATAAAAAACATGAATTATGAAGCAGCCTTTTTGGAATTACAAAAAGTTGTCCAAGAGGTAGAATCAGGGGAAATTCCCCTCGATCAACTGACTGAAAAAATCAAATATGCCACATGCCTTATTAAAATTTGTAAAGATAAATTATATAGCACCAATGAAGATATTGAGCAAATATTACAAACATTGAATAAAGCAGAAGATAAAGAAGAATAATCCTATGCGATACTTTATAGAAGTGAGTTATTTAGGTACCCATTATTCGGGTTCTCAAATTCAAAACAATGGCATTACCATACAAGCATTAATAGAAGAGGCATTACATATTATATTAAAAGAAAAAAATACCTTTGACAGGTGGGTCAAGAACAGATGCTGGTGTCCATGCATATCAAAATTTTTTTCATTTTGACACTTTACAAATACTAAAAAAAAAATATTATTCATCATATAAATTCTTTATTGCCCTTTGATATTGCTGTTAAAAATATTCTCCCTGTGATCAATAATGCACATGCACGTTTTGATGCAAGAAATCGCAGTTATGAATATATCATTCACCAACATAAAAATCCTTTATTATTCCAGCGCTCCTATTATTTTCCTTATCTTATTGATTGGGATATCTTACAGAAAACAGCAAGGTATATTTTAGCACAAACAGAATTTATAGGATTTTCTAAATTACATACACAGGTCAACAATTTTCATTGTCAAATATTAAAAAGCCAATGGTCTTATGATAAAGAACAACAAGTATTCAAATATGACATTGTTGCTAATCGTTTTTTGCGAGGTATGGTGAAAGCCTTGGTTGCTACACAATTGGAAGTAGCCTCGCACAAATTATCCATGCAAGCATTAGAAGCATTATTTCAAAATCCACTGCCTGCAAAAGGCAAGTTTAATGCCCCTTCCTATGGTTTATATTTGACAAATATTACTTATCCAAAAGAGATTTTTACTTCTATGGCATAAAATTTTCTATACCCTTCCAAAAATATACACTAATTTAGCATAATTAATAAACCTAAAAAAATAAAATTTATGATTAAACTCAATGATGTACAGGCTATTGTATATAGCTTGCTGCTGGGGCACTCTCTGCATGGCATGTGCAAAAAAACCCAACCTTGATTCCAAAGAAGACGAAATCACCCCCCCCCAATAATATCACCGACAATACCAATAATTCTCCCAATGATCCCAATTCTCCGAATGGTCCCAACTCTCCCAATACCCCACAAACAAGTCCCACAAATATCACCGAAAAAATACCATCCTCAAAGAGTTCCTTACACCCAATGGCACACAAATATATTGTAGGAAGCCAATGTGATGTCCTCATCACCAAAGATGATAAAGTCTATTTGGTACGATATAAAATCCCCCATGAAAAAGTTACCTTGCCTGCCTTGTATGAAGGCAAAACCCTCCTCATAGATATCGACTATCACACAAGTGTTGTTTAGACGCCTCACTTCACATATATACCGCTATGGTCCCAATGATAGTATATGCTTAAAAACCACTAATGAAGACAGGGAAATGACACTTGAAATCAATACTAGGTGTCTATTTTGATACCACATACAATAACACTTACTACTATTATTACAATGGTAAGTCTACTTGGGACAGGCTTACTGATCGCTTTATTGCTTTACTGCCTTCGGAGACCCAAGAGCTCATCCTCCCACAACAGGTGAAGCACATTCCTCCCAGCAGCTTCATGAAGGAACTAAGGCATATTACCCTATCCGATGCCATCACAAGCATTCCTGAGAAAGCTTTCTCCAAATTTGAGCAACTCACAAGTATTGTCCTACCCAAGAGCATCACTACCATTGGTGATTCAACTTTTGCTGGATGCTCAAAGCTATCAAGCATCACTATCCCTAATTCCGTAACTACCATCGGAAATTCAACTTTTGCTGGATGCTGGAAGCTATCCAGCATCACTATCCCTAATTCTGTAACTACCATCGGAGATAACGCTTTCTACTACTGCCAATCCCTATCAAGCATCACTATCCCTAATTCTGTAACAAGCATCGGAAATTCGGCTTTCTCCTCCTGCAAAGCACTCACAAGCATCACTATCCCTAATTCCGTAACTACCATCGGAAATTCGGCTTTCTCCTCCTGCTATGCCCTATCAAGCATCACCATCCCTAATTCCGTAACTACCATCGGAAATTCAACTTTTGCTGGATGCTGGAAGCTATCCAGCATCACTATCCCTAATTCTGTAACTACCATCGGAGATAACGCTTTCTACTACTGCCAACTGCTCAGAAGCATTACCCTATCCGATAAACTGACAAGCATCGGAAATTCGGCTTTCTCCTACTGCAAAGTCCTATCAAGCATCAACATCCCTAATTCCGTAACTACCATCGGAGATAACGCTTTCTACTACTGCCAACTGCTCAGAAGTATCCGTATAGAAGCCACTACACCACCTACAATGAATGTTTCCTTCTATTATACTAATATCACTACAATTGAAGTGCCAGCAGGAAGTGTGGAAGCCTATAAAAATGCAGAGGGTTGGAGGCAATATGCAAGGCAGATAGTTAGCTATAATTAAACTTAGCTATACCATAAGCCTTTAAATAAGGCAATATTCTAAAATACCATACTTATTGTATGGTATTTTTTTATGAATATGCAATGAAGATATATCTTTGGACCTCTGTGGAAACTACACACAGGATTATAGAAATGAAGAATAGCCAAGCACAGGGATGCTGTGGCATATGTCAATATATTGAAAAGCTACTTATACACAATAACTTCAACACCTTTATTCTTTAATACCTTTAAAAAGTTTGCAGGTGTATTTTTATCAGTAATCAAGACATCTATTTCATTAAAATCACAAATTTTTCCCAATCCTTTTTTACCAAATTTTGAAGAATCTGCCAAAACAACCTTTTTTTGACATATTTTAAGCATGGATTTATTGAGCTCCACCTCCATCATATTGGTATTGGTAATACCCACTTCCAAATCAATACCACCAACACTCATGAATAATGTTAAGCAAGAGAAATTATTAATCATTCTTTCTGTTTCGTGTCCAATCACTGAACCTGAACTTTTACGAATAATACCTCCCAATTGAACAATTTCCATATTAGGTGTATTAATTAAAATTTCAGAGATATAAATTGAGTTAGTAACTATTGTTAAACGATTAAAATCCAATAACTCTTTTGCAAGGGATAAAATACTACTGCTTCCAGAAGATAAAAAGATAGTATCATTTTCGGCAACTAATTTTTTTGCTTCCTTAGCAATTTTTTCTTTCTCTTTTACAAATTTAAGTGCTTTTTCATCAATTTTTCTTTCACTGACATATGGATTTTCAAAACTTGCTCCTCCATGTGAACGATACAACATTCGTTTTTTTTCTAATAATAATAAATCTTTACGTATCGTAATGGTTGAGGTTTTTAAAGAATTGCTATATCAATTACTTTTACAAAACCTTCTTTTTTAAGTGTTTCTAATATGATCTTATGTCTTTCTAATGCTTTCATAAATATATAATGTAATTTTAATATTATTTTACCAATAAATAAGTTACAAAGATAAATCTATTTAAAATGAAAAAGAATTTTAAATTTATTTTATCATTAAATTATAAGAATTTATACAACTTTATACTAAAAGGCACAATTTTTGGGACTTCTGGGAAAAGGAATCACATCACGAATATTGCTCATGCCAGTTACAAATAATAACAAACGCTCAAAACCTAAACCAAAACCACTATGAGGGACTGTTCCAAATCGTCTTGTATCCAAATACCACTGCATATCATCAGCATTGATATTCATTGCTTTCATACGCTCCAAAAGTCTGTCATAGCGTTCTTCCCTTTGTGAGCCACCTACAATTTCCCCAATGCCTGGAAACAAAATATCCATAGCACGAACAGTTTTTTTATCTTCATTCACCCGCATATAAAAAGCCTTAATAGCTGCTGGGTAATCAGTAATGATAACAGGTTTTTTAAAATGTTTTTTCTACCAAATATCTTTTCGTGTTCACTCTGTAAAATCTACTCCCCAATAAATATCATATTGAAATTTTTTCTTTTTGTATGGGGGTGATTGTATCAAAATATCAATAGCTTCTGTATAAGTAATTTTTTCAAAATTATTATTTAAAACAAACTCTAATTTTTCTAATAATCCTAATGTAGCTCGTTCTTGCTGTGGCTTTTTACTTTCTTCTTCTAAAAACCGATTTGCTAAAAATGCTAACTCTTTGTGCCCATGTTCTACAACATAGCGAATAAGATATTGGATAAAATCTTGTGCCAAAGCAATATTATCATCAATATCATAAAAAGCCATTTCTGGCTCTACCATCCAAAACTCTGCAAGATGACGAGGAGTATTTGAATTTTTTCAGCTCTAAAAGTAGGACCAAAAGTATATACTTCGCCCATTCCCATGGCTGCCAATTCTGCCTCTAATTGTCCACTGACTGTAAGTGTAACAGGCTTGCCAAAAAATCTTTTGTATAATCTATTTGTCCATCTTTATTTAAATGGGGCTTTTCAATATTTAATGTTGTTACCTGAAACATTTCCCCTGCCCCTTCTGCATCAGAAGCTGTAATAATAGGGCTATGTATATAATAAAATCCTTTACTATTAAAATAGGAATGTATAGCAAAAGCCAACATATGACGCACTTTAAAAATAGCATTAAAAGTAAGTGTCCTCATACGCAAGTGAGCAATATCACGCAAAAATTCCAAACTATGTTTTTTGGGTTGTAGTGGATATTTTTCAGCATCACAAGTACCCAAAACCTCTATTGCTGTTGCTACAATTTCAACCTGCTGTCCTTTGCCCTTAGAAGGTATTAAGACTCCTTTTATCTTCAAGGAAGTGCCTGTATGTATCTTGGCAACAATACTCTCTGGAAAAGTATTCAAAGGCAATACAATTTGTACATTTTCTATGCTACTACCATCATAAAGAGATATAAATTGTGTATTCCTAAATGTACGCACCCAGCCCATCACTAAGACTTCTTGCTCCTGTGGCACTATATCTAAAATATCCTTAATTTTTTACTCTATTCTCCAACATAAAAAAATTTTATTTAACAACATTTACAAAGATAAATTTTTATATTAAAAATACCCTTCATTTTTGAAGTAAAAAATTTTTTATAATATTTTTAAACTTGACTTAGACAAAACAGATTCCACACATAAACGTTTATTATTTAATGGGAAAAAATATAAAGTGGGCAATATAGTTATATTGAGCGAATCTGCTATTTCTGATTCAGCATCTATATCTACTTTATATACATAAATTTTCCCTTCATATTCTTTTGGCTAATTCTTGTAAAATAGGATACAATTCATGGCAAGGATAACACCAAGAAGCATAAAAGTCTAACGATGGCAGGTTTTATCTCCTAAATAATTCCAATCTTTGAGAATTTTTCTATAATTAACAATTTTTTTTAGCAAATAAATCCCTATCCAAAGGTATTAAACTTGTATTGTTTTGGTTTACCTCTTGTGCTTGTACAAGCCCATTAGAAAAAGATATAAGCACAAAGCTGAGTATTATAATGAATAATCTATATACTTTTTTCATACTTGTTTTTAAAGGCTTAATATATTTTTGTGTACAGCATAATTGAATTTTTTTACAAAGGTAAATTAATAATTTATAAACTAACTTTGTGTTTGTGATACAAAAAATGAATAATTGGGGAGTAAGCATATTCCTTTCATTTTTATATTTTTGACTTTTTAAAACACCATATATATGCTCAAAAATTATCTGACATAGATAGTAACAAGATTCTTTTTGACATCAAAGGTATCAATAATATCACTACTCATAAGACCATAAAATCACCGTATTTGTATAATCCCAGAACATATTACATTTGAGGATTATCAATATAAAATTTGAGCAAGCCCAAAAAAGCTATTCTATTAGGAGATACTTACCTGATAAACCTCACACAGCCTACACCAATTCAAATAAAAGAAACTTTAAAAGAAATAATTTTACCAAGCCAATGCACCCTATAAAATATACTTCAATAATACCTTTGTAAGTTTTTTTCTCCTGAATGTTTTGTGCACATTAAAAATAATAATATTTATACTTATCCTATGAAAGGAACAGGGTGGGCATGAAAATGCTCTGCTAAATAATGTAAAGGAAAAATCCAGAACATACAACTATTGTTGATTTTGATGGCTCAATGATTGAGTCAAGGATTAGCAAAAAATTGAGTGTCAAAATATCGCTATATACAAAATATACAATACACAAGAAGGCATATTAAAAACAAACTATTTCCAGAAATTATTGGACAACTCAAACAAATTGAGCAATGCACAATATTTGGAATATTTTAGATACTATTAGCCCCGCAGGTTCTGTAAGTGGTGGCACCCCAAAGAAGCCACTATACAACAAATATATTAAATGATTTCAGAGAAATATCAAAGAAATTTTTATACCGGCATTGATTGATATTATTTATAATGGGGAAACATTAGATAGTGCTGTTCTCATCCGATCTTATTGAGAAAAAAAATCCTAATCAATATTTTTATAAAAGTGGTGGAGGCATACTTATTTGAGTAAGCCAGAAGATAAATATCAAGAATTAAAAGATAAATAATTTATGTCCCTATTCATTGAAACAGTATGATATATAAAAATGGAAGTATCTTACAATTAATTTATCACCAAGAAAGATAGTAATTGTGACCCGTTGACATTTTTTTATCCATCTGCAAAAGAAATTATTTTATCAGATTATTAAGATTCCAAAAATCTCTGCATGACAATACTTACTAATATGCAGAATTAGTCTATACACCATAAAATATAAAAAATAGAATAACGAGCCTTATATCATCCCTCATTTTTAACCAACCCAATACATTCTTTTACTATTAATAATGATTTATATTATTTCTTTAAATTATAATGATTGGAACTTGCTTTTTTCACATGAAAAGAAAAAACATATCCTCTCAATATATTGTTAAACTGGACGCTTAACAGATATTGGACACCACTTTTTCCCCTTTTTTA